GTGAAATCCATGTTGTTCATTGCCGTAATCCATCTGTTTCTTCTTTCGTTGTCTAATGACTCTATTAGCTGATGGCGATGATCTCATTTCCTGTACGCTCATATTCCTTCAGTAGGGAAGCACACTCCATGTTCCAACAAGGAGTATAATTTTGCCTGTAGTCTCTTGGGATGGCGGTGTACGCTGCTTTTTTAACTAGTTTGACGAACCTAGGATAATTCTCTGGCAAGGGAGGAATACGATTGATGTTCTTTTCCATATAATTTGTGTAGGCATCCCAATTTGCTTTACGTAGGTTCCACCTAGGCATTGACGGTTTATCTATTCTTGGTAGGTGTAAGCTTATGTTTATTGCTATAGGTTTGTATTGTGTTCTGGGAAAGTTATGTAGAATAGTGTGAGAAGCTCTTAGGGGTTGGTTATGATAGTCGGTTGTTACAAAACAAAGGTCAGGTGATGCTGCTGTGCCCCATGTGCCAGAAATTCAAGTGCCACCTTACTGGGCATCATATAGCAGGTGCAAGCGGTGGAGTGTCGCCCATTTACATAACCTTTCTCCATCTTCATTTTCAATTGCATAGCCCCAATTGGTGCTATGTGAGTTGAAATGTCCTACGTACACTGTTGGAAATTGATGTGTTGGAAGCACATAGTGGGACCAGTTGATTGAAGGGGGCTTATATACATTGTAGATAATAAGGTTATCCAAACGGATACCAACTGTATGTTCATTACCAGTAACTGGATTGACAAGGCGGTCTTCCACCTTTTGGTTAACATAAGTAGCCAGGCCATGTCTTGGATGCCCAATGTAGTCAATCAGCCTGAAACCAGGTTTTTTTAGGCGCCTTGTCTCTCCATCCGGGATGTGGGTCTCCTGTAGGGCTAGTGCGTCAGCATCGTTAAAGGTTAGGCTGAGTATTTCTGCTTTAGAGCTTGTTAAACCTTCTATGTTAAGGTGTATGATTCTTCCCGGACGAAGCATGAGCATGCCGCCGGCGCGTCACCAGGTTGCGGAAAGGGGAACGCCCTGTAGATAAAGTAAGGTCTCCAACGCTGCAACTTCGCCGGATCACGCGCTAGGCGAAATCTGGCAACACCGCCGTGTTCCTTGGTTCCCCCACTACCACTTTGCTGCTGGGTGAGGCTTCCCCGACCGCTCAGTCTTGGCTGAGCAGCCATCAACGATGGAGGTACCCCTCGCGTCAGCGTCCAAGTGCGAATTGCGTTCTGTAATACGTTTTTTGAGTGCGAAAAAGGTGACACCTATTGAAATCCATCGTCAACTAGTTGAAGTTTACGGGGAAGAGTGTATGGACATAAAAAACGTGCGTAAGTGGAGCCGCGAGTTCAATTCCGGGCGCACTAATGTTCACGACGAGGAGAGAAGTGGCCGACCGTCGGTCTCGGATGCGATTGTTCAAGCAGTGGAGGCAGAAATGCTCAAAAACCGCCGTGCGACAATTAGGGACTTGGAAGAGAAGCTTGGAGGAGTGTGTAGCAGCGAAACAATCCGTCATATCCTTGTGAACAAATTGCAGTATCACAAAGTTTCTGCCCGATGGGTGCCGAAACAGCTGACCGAAGACCACATGAAGCGGCGCGTGGAATGTGCGACCAAAGTTGTGGCCCGTTTTGAAGAGGAAGGCGATGATTTTTTGGAAGGGTTTGTTACGGGGGATGAAACGTGGGCTCATCACTACACACCCGAAACAAAGGAGTCGTCCAAACAATGGCGCCATAGCGATTCTCCGAAACCCAAAAAATTTAAGGCGACACTGTCAGCCGGCAAGGTGATGGCTACGGTGTTTTGGGATCGCCACGGGGTATTGTTGGTGGATTTCATGCCAAGGGGAACCACTATCAATGCAGCAAGGTACTGTGAGACCCTGGAAAAGCTTCGTCGTGCCATAAAAAACAAACGCCCGGGATTGCTGAGCAAAGGAGTGAAATTTCACCACGACAACGCGCGCCCGCACACAGCCAACGTTACCCTTGACCTGCTCAAGAAATTTGGCTGGGAAATCATCGATCACCCTCCCTATAGTCCCGACGTGGCCCCAAGTGACTACCACATGTTCCCCGCCCTGAAAAAACATCTCGGAGGGAAGAAGTTTGATAGTGACGCGGAGGTTCAGAAAGAGGTCAACACCTGGCTGCGCGAGGCGGACGGAGAGTGGTATTCTGCCGGCATAGACAAGTTCATCGTGCGGATGCGCAAGATGTTGGAAAAAAATGGCGATTATGTAGAAAAGTAGCCAAGACCTTGGCCTTTCCAACGGTGTATCGCTTTTTGTAAATAAATGTCATTTTCTATGAAAAAAAAAATTGGAGACCTTACTTTATTGTCAGCCCTCGTATATAGGGTAACCGCGAAATAAGTCATACCCTTCGGGATTGGACGAATAAGCGGTAGCGAACAAGCTCACCACCGGAGGAGTGATCGACCCCCGGTGTCTCGGAAGATCTGGCAATCGAACCGGAAAACCGACAGATGACACGAGGTTTGCGTCATCGGTGGCCGCCAAGCCATACTTTAAAAATTATGATGGACCCAATAAAAGCTTTTGATGTTACTGCTACAGGGAAATCGGATAACCCAGAGCCGGCGGTTGGGGGACGATGCTCGCCCCAGGTGTCGTCATCACCTCAAGCCACCAAAGGTGCAGGTTCGTTGAAGCAGGGACCTGCCACTGACAACGGTGTCGGTAACGAGACTACAGGTGAAGGAACTCATGCCTCCACTCGTAGCAGACAGGCCACCTCATCTGAGATGCTAATGACTTCTCAATAGAAAAAGGCTAGGACGATCATATTGCTACACTGGGAGAGTAGGAGCTGCTAAATATGGTGCAGAGCTACATCACCACCATGGTGACATTTGTCAACAACACCAGGAACGTCCACAAGGAGCTTAAAGAGACGCTCACAAAAACGTCCCTGTTGATGACGCAGTTCAGAAAGATCAGAGACGCTAGAGCTCACGAAGAACCGCCGATCAAATTACCAAGCGCGAATGGCGTCAGCCCAATAAACGAAAATCCGGAGTCTATGGAAAGGAAGATGATCGACGCCATCGAAGAGCTGAAGTGCGCAGTCGAGACACAAGGAGAGGAAATCAGGGCGTTGAAGGCTACGAAGGATTCTTCTTGGTCAGAGGCGCCTAAAAGGCATGCAGGGAAACCGAACACTGATCTAGCCCCCCCTAAACATCCAGCTTGGACCGAGGTGGTTGGAAAGAAGAATACCGCTAGTGAGCGAACTAAAAAACCGACCAATATGCCTAATCTGAGGAGGAGACCGCCAGCGGTTATCATGGACACGAGTAAGGAAGATTTCCCGGCTTTAGCAAAAAAGATTAGAAAGGACATAAAGAGTGAAGTAATCGAGGACCACGTGGTCGGCATGCGGCAAACAAAGTCAGGCGGACTCCTGTTTGAACTACGTGGTGACCAAGAACAACTTGAACTAGTTAGAGCGGAGATCTCAAGGTCGGCAGGACCCGGAATTACGGTGCGTGAGCTCAGACAAGAAAAACTTTTGGAAATTCGAGATTTGGACGAATGTTCTACGAAAAAGAATGTCGAGGAAGCAATCGCCCTTGAGTCCCAAGTTATGTCCGGAATCAAGGTCCTTTCTATTAGAAAGAAATACGGAGGTCAGCAGACTACATTAGCATCGGCCCCCATTGAAGTGTTAGAGCCTATCCTGAAGACAGGACGCCTTTGGGTGGGCATGATTAGTTGCAGAGACTCACAGAACAGAAGGCGAGGTGTTTCAAATGTTTGTTCCTCGGCCACATATCTAAGGTCTGCCGCGGACCTGATAGGAGCAGCTGTTGTTGGAGGTGCGGACAGCGCGGAAATATGGCAGCAGGATGCTCTGCGATAGCGGAGGAAGCTGCTAATTTCTCCAAGGTGCTAATCAGTGAGACCAGTGTTAAATAGTGCCGTGCCGATGGGGAAATGAGGCGGGCGTTCAAGACGGTCCTCAACGGGGAGACAGCGGCTAGCCAGGCTTCTGTATCCGTTGCCGAAGGCATTCAAGACACACCGCAATGATCCGCGTCTTACAGATCAATGTGGGCATGTGCAGGGCGGCCCAGGACCTGGCGCTGGCGACCGCGAACGAGCTCGAAGCTGACGTACTAATAATCAGCGAATAACACAGAAGCCCTGGCGAGGATAGCGGCTGGTATCCCGACACTAGCAGCAGAGCAGCCATCGCAACCATCAGCAATATACCAGTCGACAGAGTCGGACCACCATTGCCGGGTTTCAGATGGCTTGAAACTAAAGGGCATAGACTGTACAGCTGTTACTGCTCGCCCAACGTTTGCTTTACTGAATTTGAAGCCTTTTTGGACGCACTTGAAACGAGCATCAGGGGAGCCAAGTGCCCCGTAATCGTCGCAGGTGACCTAAACTCCAAATCACTGGAGTGAGGCAGCCCCATCGAAGACTGCAGAGGACGAGCACTAGCAGATCTCCTAGCCTTCACAGGGCTATCGGTCTGCATTGCATGGTTTCAAACCAGGAAAATCAACTACGGACGGGATGGCAAGGCTGCAAACAATCATACGCGATGCGAACAGCAGAAGAAACGATCGGAAGTATATTGGCATGCTCACATTAGTTGTCAAAAACGCGTTCAACAGCGTACAGTGGGACGCTATCAACCGGAAACTGGAAACAACACAGACCCCCAAGTACCTAAGAAACATAATCGTGGATTACCTACACAACCGACAGATCACGTTCGAGAAGACAGATGAGACCATCACCACAAGAGACGTCAACTGCGGGGTCCTCCAGGGCTCAGTCCTTGGACCTGACCTATGGAACCTGTTGTATAACGACATCTTAAAAATACGTCTACCCCAAGATACGGAACTGATTGCCTTTGCTGACGACGTGGCAGTCATCACCACAGGTGTGATGCCTTTCCAGTTAGAAAAGTGACTGGGCAAAGCTCTGAGGGACGTCATCGCCTGTATGACCATGCACGGGCTGGAATTGGCACTGAAAAAAACCGAGGCCATAGTTTTTACTAACAAAAACAAGAGAAACATAATGACAGTTGAGTACACGCAGCACGCATTCCCATCAAGTCGATGCGTAAAATATCTCGGTGTGTACTTCGATTCGAGATTGCACTTCCAGGAGGATGCTATGCAGGCGGCGAAACGTGCGGCTGAAGCAAGACGATGTCTCACGCAAATATTGCCGAATCTCAGAGGCGCAAAACAGAGGACGAGGAGAGTTCTCGCCACAGTGGTGACCTCAAGACTTCTGTACGGAGCACCCATATGGTCAACGAGCATCACGGTCAAAGCACTTGGTATCATGGAAGCAGCTTACAGGAGAATCATGCTTAGGGTGGCATGTTGCTACAGGACTACGTCATACACAGCAGCAGCGGTAGTGGCAAGCCACTCTGGCTCTCTTGGCAGAAGAAAGATCCGACATCTACAACGGAAAAGAGAAGAAAGCTGCCAGAGAGGCAATGCTGTGCAAATGGCAGCGCAGCTGGGAATCGCCGTCCGAGAAAGGTAGATGGACCTATAGACTTATCAAGGATGGTAAACCTTGGTTCCAGAGGAAACACGGTGAGGTGTCATTTCATCTGTGTCAGGTGCTGACGAACCACGGGTGCTTTAACAAGTATCTTCGCAAATACGGAAAGCGCGGAACAGATGAGTGTGCACATTGTGGGTCAAGCCCTGACAGCGCCGAGCATGCTGTGTTCTTGTGGGACGCGTGGTACCACTGGCGTCGAGAAGCCTGTGTCTATCTGGAGGTAGACCAACTGACCCCAGACAACATCGTAGGCATAATGTTGGAGTCAAAAAGGAAATGGCTCAGAATAGAAAACCTGCTGACGAAGATAATGATGTGCAGAGAGGAAGAGGAACGACGGGTGCAACACGGATCGTTAGTCCAGACCGTCTGGTCCAGGATACAGGGTCGTGAAGTTTCCCGAACCGATGCGGAGAACACGACGTCCAAGCCAATGCACGTGAGTCGAGGCCGGCTGGTACAGGAAACCGGGCTAGGAAGACAGAACAACAACAAAAAGCCTACCGCAATTAAGTAGTTAAGATTTTTGTTGTAGGCCGAATGGCCAAAGTAGGAGGGGTAGAGCCCTTCGTGTGCTGTAAATATCATATTTGTACTTGATCGATGTTTTTAAATAAACGATGGGGGCCTGGAGGAAGTAATGCAAACGCAGTTCCCTCCAGGTTTCCCGATACCACAAAAAAAAAAAAAGATGTATGATTCTTACATATTTTTGTGAACCATTATTGTCTGAGGTATTGTTATTTTTATTGGCTATGTTTAGAATACTTGTGTTATTATAAAGATTCCGTTTATTTTTGTTTTTGAAATTTAGATTTTATAATTTGTTTTTGGGAGTTATAGATGTTGTGTTGTGACTTACGCGGAAGGCGCATAGGTCAGGATAGCCCTGAGAAGGGCTGTTTTTGCCGAATATACCAGGAGTTCGTGGGAAGTCTGGCAGTCGGTTTTGTGCTGATTGATTTCGTGGTATGTTAGGCAGGTTGTAATTTCATAGATAAAAAACGCACCTAGGAAATACCACTACTTACAGGGAGGACAACGAGAAGTTACAGCCCCCCCCCCCCCCCAATGTTATTCAATGATATTCACTGCTGTTAACAAAATACATTAAACAGAACGTATTCTGTAATCTTAAACAGAGAAATATTTGAATAAATTTCATAGTTAACAATAATTTTTTCCAATGAACTATTCAATTATTATTTATTATTTTTTTTTTTTGTTTTCGAGTTATTTTAGAAGTGTATATCTGTAAAATAATATTATATTCGGTATACGCCGAAAATTGAAAATCTGCTGATGAGTATACGCCGTATACCTGCGTATACGTACCAATACACACCTTTAACGATATTTTCTTTTTGTAATTATCATAACTCATAACTTATAAATAAAGCAGTGACGGATTAAACATTTGTGGGCCCCTAGGCAATTAAAGTGTTGGGCCCTAAAAAAATATTTTTTACATACATGTTTAACATTACTATCCAATAATGAAGATATACAGCTATAATAATAACGAACTATTATTAATAAATAAAATCATATTTATTACATTTTTTTTATTTGCAAGAAAAATTAACTAATTATTATATTATTTCTATTCTTTTCGAAATAATTTTATTATTATTACTGCATATAATACCTACAACTTGATGTATAATATATTTCATAATCACTTTTATCCCATAAATTCATAAATAAAATACAGATATTATTATATAAAAAAAAATATAGTTTTCCGTTTTCACAGGGCCCTTTAAATGAGTGAGACCCTAAGGCGGGCGCCTACTCCGCCTAATGAGTAATCCGGCACTGAAATAAAGCAATCATATTATATAATATATTATTATATTATTATAATCATATCAATAAAACGCACATACCACGTAAAATATGTATTTATTGTCAACTTATAACTTATCTATGGTGTTGTCGTATACGCCACGCAAAGGCTTGGCGTATAACAACACGAAACGAGGTATTATTGGTTATTGGACACTCTAACTGTCAAACAAGCAAGTAAAGGAAAACTTAATAATTGACCCGGACGACTATCTTCTTAAGTGACAAAGAACACAATCTAGCACTGCTTAATAGGATAGTCGAAAAA